GTTCAGAATCCTGCTGGCTCCAACTCCTCCAAGCTAAACCCTAGACCACATAGCTTCCTGTTCCTTTAAGTCCCAGACCACATTTCCTATTCACCTGCTATCTAAGTAAGCCTCATGCTCTGCAAGGCTTTAGTATAAGAGAGTATATGTTTTCAGTGTGCTCATCTCACCTGTGCTTTCCCAGGGCGTGCAAGGCAGGCTGCCAGTATGAAAATAGTCAGAGTCCTGAAATATGCATAGAAAATAAGATGTAAACATTTTGATGCACATGTTCATTTCACAGATTTAGATATGAGGATAAATAGATCTAATGCTATATAGATATGAGATCTATCCCAACTATATATTTAAACTGATGGGATTTAAATTAGCTATTACTGCTCAAGAAACAGATCTTGGAGTCATTGTGAATAGTTCACTGATACCATCCACTCAATGTGTAATAGTTGTAAAAAAAGTGAACATAACATTGGGTATCAAGAAAGGAATAGGTAATAAAACAGAAATTACCACATTGCCGATATATAAATCCATGATATGCCCACATCTTGAATACTGCATGAAGTGGTGGTCACCACATCTCAAAAAGATATATTGGAATTCAAAAAGGTTCAGAAAAGGGCAACAAAAATGGTTAGGGGAATAGAATTGCTTCCATATGAGAAGAGATTAATAAGATTGGGACTTTTTCAGTTTGGAAAAGAGATGATGAAAGGGGGATATGATTGAGATCTATAAAATCATGACTGGTTTAAAAGAAGTGCTATTTACTACTTCTTATAACACAAGAATGAGTGGATGAAATTGTGAAATGAAATTGATAGGAAGCAGGTTTAAAACAAACAAAAGGAAGTACTTCTTCATACAATACACAGCCTGTGGAATTCTTTGCCAGAAGATGTTTTGAAGGCTAAGATTATAACAGGGTTCAAAAAAAGAACTAGATAAATTCATGGAGGATTGGTCCATCGATCGCTATTAGCCAGGATGGGTAGGAATAGTGTCCCTAGCCTCTGTGTGTGAGAAGTTGGGAATGAGTGACAAAGGAAAAATCACGTGATGCTTATCTGTTCTGTTCATTCCCTCTAGGGCACCTGACATTGGCCACTGTTGGAAGACAGGATATTGAGCTAGAAGGACCTATAGTGTAACCCAATGTGGCCATTTTTATGAGGCCAAATTAATCTCTGCACTCCATAGAGCCGAACTGTAGAGGAATTTGGCCAGTGACATATAACGTTACAGCTGTGGCCCAGACTCAGCTCTCCATTAAGTCAGTGTTCTTACTTGGACTTACACCACTGAGATCCGAATCCAGTCCTAAATATTTGTTGACTAATCTGTGTCTTTTATAACAATCTATGCTAAAGCTCTTTAAAGAGCAAGTTTATAATAGCCAATGATAAAATTTTACCCTCTATGGCACCTTTCATCTGAGAATCTCAAAACCCTGCACAAGCATAAATTTAGTCTGCAATATCCTTAAGAGTTAGATAAGTATTATACATAGTTTACAGATGGATAAACTGAAGCACAAACCTCACAGAGTAAGTCATTACCAGGGCTAGACCAGGCTTCATCCCCAAGAAACTACTCTCAAAAATCAACATATTTGTTAGGGTCAGAATTTGTCTCTTTACTCACACTGAATATTAGGTGGCTCTGTAAGTAGATGCATTGTGTCAGGTCATCAGCTGATATAAATCAAAGTCATCAGTGACACTATCCTGATTTACTACATCTGAGAATCTGGCCTTTGTATTTTCAAACAACTTCTTGTAGAGCAAGGAAATTCTCAGTGACAGAATCTGGCCTTAGCTATTAAATATTTGGCTGTCTCTTGAGCTTTGATCTACATCAGTGTTCTTTCTTAGCTGAGCGCTCGGACAGCCACCCAGGAGAGATTTAAATGCCGCTCAGCTGATTAGCAGAGCACCCACAGTGCCCACAGCCAGCAGCATGTGTTTCTACTGGTGGTGTATATCTGTACATGCCTCAGTACACATAACAAAATTTATTCTACACATGGATCAAAAAAATAGAGGGAACATTGATCTACAGTACTAGAGTATGCTCTGTCCATAAAAGTATGCTGGCCAACTCAAAGTGTTGGCTGTTAACTAGTGCCAGATATAAATTTGGAAAGAACAATAAGAGATTTATTTTATTTTCTGTGCGCTTCAATTTCAACATTTTCCAGTTTCCGTATAATAAAGGTGCTTTTCAATAAAATTTAGAGCCATGTCTCATTTACACTGGAGAATATTACTGACTGTCTAGAGTATATACAGTATATTTCAAAAAAACAACATGGGAAGCAGGAAAAATTTAGGCAGCCTCAGTTGGGCTATCTAAAGGAGCAGCCAATTCAGCCAATTTTCCCTGCAGGCTCTTTTAGCTACAGCAAGTCTAGCTACTGAACGTGACCTATTAGGCACATCAGATGAAACTACTCACAAACTGACAAGCACATTTTAAAACATCAATGTTTTAGTTGAGCAATAAGCACCAAAATGTACACACAACCCCTAAGATGGTTGGTCATGGTGCGGAGTAGGCAAATGTTGCTTGTCTGGAAAGTTAGGTAATAACACAAACTGGCAAATTCTGTAAAGACGTTCCCCTAGAAATGGAGGCAATACATGTAAGGCACTATGTCATCCATTTCAGACTGCATTTCTTTTATGGGTCCCTTAAATCCTTGGAAGTGGTAGAGCATATTTTCTCAAGCATGCCCTTTGTAAATTACTGTTCATTCATTTTGTGTATAGAAAGAAGAAGAATGGAAGAAAAAGCAATACAAAGTTTTATTGCTCTGTGTTAAGTGCTAACTGGGCTATACTTTGTTGTACAACAAAAATTCCTATCTTCTTACTGACAATATTCACAACTGTATACATCCTTCAGTTTCAAGAACTAAGAGCCACTAGATTGTTCTGAGTTATGGGAAAGGTGATAGAATAATACAGACCATTTCCTGGAGGGGTTTGATCTGCAGTCACTAGTTCAATTGACTTTATTTTGTTAAATTCCTTGTCCCCCTGGGAATTATTAACAGACATAACACAACCTCCTAACAACATTGTTTTAGCTGGTCTTGTTCATTTGTTCAGCAAATTATTATAAAATAGCAATTAACTTCTGCAACAATAATGAGTGAAGTGTAATTAAATTACTGTGAATTGTATCTCCAGAGAAAGCAGCTGTGATTTTAGCTAGAAGACCCTTAACTGTAACAATTCAGCATCCCCCCTAGAGACAGATTCCCAAATGCAGAATACTGCATAGATGAAGATGGAAATTGCTAGAGACAGCACAGCTTTTATAACAAACAAAAAAGAGCCTTACCCCATCTTTGACCCTGTCTTTTTGAAATGGCTTTAGCTAGTGATCTGGCATAGTGGCTCCTAGCCACAGACATTTTCCATGAGTAGGTTACCATTCAGTGAGTAAAGAAGAATGGTGCACGGTACCTACCTCTTTACTTCTTGCATGTCCAGCATTGGTTAGGAAAGGTGGAAAAAAGAGAGTCTGCACTGCTGGATAACTAAAAAAAGTGTCTGAACATCAGCGTTTTGCTAGCCCTTGAGTTCCTCCGTCATTTGTATTCCAAAGAATGAAATATCAAATTATAGACAGGGCAGAGAGAGGTCTGCTCCTCTTCAGTCACTGGAGAGAATACAGCAAAAGCACCTGGTTTTGCTTAGTTCTCTTCTGTAATTCAGCATTAAACCAATTGGAGGAGGAATGTTAAAAATGAACACTTCATTTTCTAAGTATGTTAAACAATGCAAATGGGGGCCTCAGTCTGGGGACAGCTGGTTTAGATTACAGAGCTCACCAACTGGCTAGACTCCTCACAACAATCTCGAACAGCCTGCCAGGATAAAAGACTCACAGCTTTAAGGAAAGCCTCTCCTACTGCAAGCTTTACAAGCAAACGTGCCCGGGTGCAGAGGCAGCCCTGTTATTGGATAGAAGCCCTTATCAAGGGGCTGGAAAACAGACTGTTTTCCTTTCATTCAGAGCATAAAACTAGACGTTTTAGGGGCCCTGTAGCTGGTGTCTCAGCTCAGATGATGAATATGCAGCACAGCAATACTTCATGCCAATGGCATACTGCTGAAAGCTCTGGACCTCTGGGATATGAATGATTTGAATTCATGGCGATTGCAATTACAGGGACTATATAATTTTGATTTATTTGAAAATGAGGGAAAACAGATTAGACATTCAAGAGGCAGTAACTGTATTGTCTGAAATTTTGGCCATTTGCAAGTTGATGCCAAACTTAAGGCTTCAGTTTGTAAAATGGAAGATTCTCAGAAAACCTGCTGCACTTCCCTTCTGTTTGTTTCAAGGTTGCCACTTTGACTGAAGAAAGGTACCTTTTGGGGTGTTGTGTGGTTTTGCCACAGACCTTTCGTAGGTCACGCAGAACATATATAAAAATGATCATACTGGGTCAGATCAATGGTCCATCCAGCCTAGTAACCGGTCTTCTGACAGTGGCCAATACCAAGTGATTCAGAGAGCATGAACAACAGGCACGGTATAAGAGGCAGGGAAAGGCAATGCCTTCTCAAACTGCTATGCTTCCCCCCCACACACACACACGACTCCCTCCTCCTCCCACCCCCCACATTCAAGTGCAGCTGCTACAGGCTCCTGGGGCTTCAGCTCCACCAAGACAGCAGTTTGTGCTGCAAGCCCTCCTCATGTTCCAGGACTAAAAAGGGGCCACCCATCTAACCACCTGCCCTGTATTCAGGGGGTGGGGACAGGGAAGGCCAGGCCTGCAAGCTACCCATGCTCTAGGGAGACTGGGGAAGGCTGTGGGCCGCTCATGTTGGGGAGGAGGAGTAAATTTCCTTGCATCTGTCTAATAACATATCTCTGTGATGTCTGTGCCAATAAATTCTTGAGTCAGTCCTAAGTGGAACATAGGATTTGGTCCAAGAGGTGAATATTGCTGGACTGCTTGATAATAGTGATCATAAATGTAACATCCTTGGGGAGAAATGTGTAGAAATCCCACCACAGTAGCATTTAATGGGTTTATATCCCTGATCATCTTGGCAAAGAGTTATTGATGGATTTATTCTACGTGAACATACCTATTTCTTTCTTGAACTCAGTTATTCCTTTGGGTTCTTTTTCACAAAATCCCCTGGCAACAAATTCCACATATTGACTGTGTATTGTGTCAACTACTCCCTTACGTTTATTTTAAACTCGCTGCCTATTATTTTTATTGTGACCCTTGCTTCTTGTGTTATGTGATGAGGTAAACAACACTTCTCTATTCACTTCCTTATTCCACACCATTCATGATTGTATAGACTTCTATACAATCTATTCTATTGTATAGACTTCATATTTCCCACCCCTTAGTCATCTCTTTTATAAACTGAACAAACCCAATCTTTTTAATCACTCCGGCTGTGTCTACATTGGCACCCTTTTCTGGAAAAGGGATGCTAATGAGACCAGTCGGAATTGCAAATACCGCGGGGGATTTAAATATCCCCCGCGGCATTTGCATGAACATGGCTGCCGCTTTTTTCCGGCTCGGGGCTTTGCCGGAGAAAAGCGCCAGTCTAGACGGGATCTTTCGGAAAATAAAGCCTTTTCCGGAAGATCCCTTATTCCTGATTTTAAGAGGTATAAGGGATCTTCCGGAAAAGGCTTTATTTTCCGAAAGATCCCGTCTAGACTGGCGCCTTTCTCCGGCAAAGCCCCGAGCCGGAAAAAAGCGGCAGCCATGTTCATGCAAATGCCACGGGGGATATTTAAATCCCCTGCGGCATTTGCAATTCCGAAGTGTCTCATTAGCATCCCTTTTCCGGAAAAGGGTGCCAATGTAGACACAGCCTTGGTGAATACCATATGGTCCTGGTGTCTTATGTTTAATTTATCAGTTTGTTCTAAGACCTCTTTTATTGACACTTCAATCTGAGAATTATCACTTAAAAAGAATGGCTCGGGTATGGGAATCTCCCTCACATCCCTTGCAGTGAAGACCAAAACAAAGAATTCATTTAGTTCCTCTTCAACAGTGTTATTTCTCTTGAATATTCTTTTAGCCACATAGTCACCTAGGCTACGTCTACATTGGCATGATCTTGCGCAAATACTCTTTAATGCAAGAGTTATTGCATTAAAGTATTTGCGCAAGAGAGTCTACACTGGCATGTGCTTTTGCACAAGAGATGTGCTTTTGCACAAGAGCATCTGTGCCAGTGTAGATGCTCTCTTGCGCAAGAAAGCTCTGATGGCCATTTTAACCATCGGGCTTTCTTGGGCAAGAAATTCATGTTGCCTGTCTACACTAGCCTCTTGCACAAAAACAGTTGCACAAGAGGGCTTATTCCTGAGCGGGAGCATCACAGTTCTTGCGCAAAAAGCACTGATTTCACACATTAGAACGTCAGTGTTCTTGCGCAAGAACTCACTGCCAGTGTAGACACGCAGCATGTTTTTGCAAAAAAGCGGCCGCTTTGGCACAAGATCGCGCCAATGTAGACATAGCCCTAGAATGTGGCTAGACTATGGAGTTTTTTCAGAAAAAGTGGCCTTTTTTGAAAAAACGCCACCTGCATCTAGACTGACATTACATTCTTTCAAAATTAATCCAAAAGATTGATGTAGTTTTTTTCGAAATTGGTAAACCTACTTTTACCAGGAAGAACACCTTTTTTCGAAAGAGCTCTTTTGAAAAAAGGTGTTCTTGAATGCAAACTGTGCTTTTTCGAAAGAGAGCATCCAGATTGCCAGGGTGCTCTCTTTTGAAAAAGCGGCTCGCTTTTTTGAAACTCTTGTGGCTTGTCTAGGTGATCTCTTTCAAAAGAAGCTTGTAGTCTAGACGTAGCCTTAGTGCCCAACTGATTGTCTGGCAAGCTTCCTGTTTCTGATGTACTTGAAAAAAAATTGCCCTTAGTTATGTCTTTTGCTTGTTGCTCTTCAAATTCTTTTTTGGCCTGCATAATAATACTTTTGCACTAGACTTGCCAGACTTTATGCTCCTATTTCTCTCAGTAGGATTTGACTTCTAATTTTTACAGGATGCCTTTTTGCCTCTAATCACCACTTTAATTTGGCTTTTTAGCCAAGGTGACATTTTATGGTCCCCTTCCCCCTTTTTTTTAAAAAAAAAATTGTGATATACATATGGTTTGAGCAGTGTTTTTAAAAAGTTTTCATTCAACTTTGAGGTATTTCATTCATGTGACTGTTCCTTTTAATTAGCTTTGTTTTTCTGTATTTCCCCTTTTTGAAGTTAAATGCTACTCTGGTGGGATTTCTACACATCCTCTCCCCCTGCCCCCACCCAGGAATGTTACATTTAATTACTTTATGATCACTATTATCAAGCAGTCCAGCTATATTCCTCTCTTGGACCAAATCCTATGTTCCACTTAGGACTGACTCAAGAATGTATTGGCACAGACATTACAGAGATACGTTATTAGACAGATGCAAGGAAATTTATGCTGGTGCAAAAATGCATATAAAAATTAAATATAGATATGCGTTATACTTATATGGCATCTTCCATCTGAGGAGTTAAAGTGTTTTGCAAACTTTAATACTTTTATCTTCCCAGAGAATTTAGAAGCTCTGTCTGTTTTACAAGTGAGCAAACTGAATGACAGAAAAACTAAGACCAACACTTTCCAAAGCATACAAGTCCAACTGAAGTCAATGGGAATTGCCTATTCTTAGAAACTCTGAAAAATCAGGCCTTAGTCATCTACAGCTGGGAGTCCAATTTGTGACACTCACCACTAGTAGCCACTTGTGAAAGTTTGTCTCTTAGCCCTTGTCTACACTAGGAACTTATTCTGAAATAACACCCTTCCCCCAATTTTGAATCTATAAGCAGTGTGTCCATACTACCATGCCCGTTATTTTGAAATAATAGGCCATGGAATTCAAACTCTGTACCCAGCTTTTCACAAGGAATAATTCTAATTCCAAAATAGTAATTTTGAAGTAACGTTAGTATAGATGCTCCGATGACGCTAATTCAAATTTATTGGCCTCTGGGAGTATGTCTACACAGCAAAGTTATTTTGAAATAACAGCACTTACTTCGAAATAACTGTGGTAGTGTCTACACAGCCAAACCGCTATTTTGAAATTATTTTGAAATAGCGGAGGGCTTATTTTGAAATTTGTAAACCTCATTCTATGAGGAATAGTGCCTATTCTGAAATAGCTATTTCAGAATAAGCACTGTGTAGACAGGGATAGGGGCTATTTCAAAATAGGGGGCCTCCAGCCCTTCCCAGGGTGCCCTGGTGGCAGCTCTGGCCACAAACAGAAAACTTCTCCCCCACCCCTTCCCCCAAAGCTCTTAAAGGTATAGAGTCTGTCCAGAGCTTTTGTGGCTACCATCAGGCCTGCCAGCTCTGAGCTACTGTGCTGCTGCCCCGACCAGTGGCACAAAATGAGCCAGCCAGCCAGCCCTCCAGCAGTCCTTGGGAGCAGTCTTCCAGCTCCCAAGAGTCTGCCAGGGGCCGGAAGAGACAGGCGCCTTCCTGGTCTCGTGCAGAGGTCATGGACCTTATTGAGGTTTGGGGGGGATACCACGAACCTCCACGATCTCCACACGAGACGCAGGAACTTGGCTGTCTAAGGCCGGATGGCTGCCAGCATGGCTGACAGAGGCTACATCCGCACCCAGGAAAAGGAGATCAAAGAGCTGCAGCAGGCCTATGCCAGAGCCAGAGCGGGCAGCTCTCGAGCAGGGGCAGACACAGACAGCTGCCCCACTTCGATGCCCTGGACTGCATCCTGGGGGGGTGGGACAGTTCTTTCCCCCAGGTAGTCATTGACTCTGGGGCAGAGCCGGCCAATGTCATCCTTGCTGAGGGCCCTGATGATGGCACA